TAATGCATAATATGCGTATATTGAAATTTGCATATTAATGATGCAGAAAATCGAGAGCGATAGTCTGGTGAAGAATAAAGAAGAAAAAATACTTACAATTAAACGGCGATTTTGATACCACTGTATGATACTACTGTAAGCTATCTATGTACATGAGCCGTACAAAAGCTTGCAATGTTGCAAATGTTGCTGCAATATTGCTTAAATATGCTTAAATAGATAGAAAAATTATATTTATAAATCTTACAGCTATATATTTGTTAATATTACAGCCCTGGTTAAAAGTTTGAAAACTTCAATTTTTTCACAAAAAATTAAATATCTTTAAAAAAAATCGTAAAGAAGTTCCGACTATGCATTTGAAAGCGCAAAGATAGGGGGTTTTACACAGTAAAATCTGCGAATTTTTTTACATTTTGTTCCCAAATTACATAAAATTGAAAATTAATATTTTTTGCAATATTTTTGTCTTACTTTAAAGTATTGCAATTTCATGGAACATTATTGGACAAAATTTAATATAAATGTATTTTAAAGCTTAGAATTTCTAAGCTTTCTTAAAATGCTTGTTGAAAAAATTTATGATGATTTTTCGCAAAGATATTGAATTTTTTTTGTATAAAATTTTATTGTGTAAAAAACTTTTTCTAAAATGTTTTTTAATTTCAAAACTAAAAAGTTTATGAAAAAGATAAAAGAGGAAAAGTATTTATCATAATAGTAATATTTTAATTAATTTGGTATATTAACTACTTTTATAGGCGAGCGCAAAAAGAGATAGGGAAGGATGCTTATCCTCTTTCTCCCATTTTGGCAAGAAGAAACAATTACCTAGCAAACATAGATAATTTATATATATATGTAAATATACATTATTTAAATCTATGTTATATTAATGATTTGCCAAGTACATTATTAAACATTCTTACGATGGAAAATTAAATTCACTGCTCAATATATAGCTCACGTTATTATAAGGAAATTCATTAAAGATGAAGTCCTCGAAGACTAACTTTAAAAAAATATATATATTTTTTAATAAGTTTTAATATTAAGTTTGTATAAAGATAAATTTTTGCTCCCTCCCCTCTCTCGATTAAAATCCTGGCTATATCCATGGTTACTTTATGTTATACATCAAATATTTTATGTTCAAATTAGGACTTGTTTGTTTTTTTGTCTTTCAATTATGTAAAAGAATTTTTTTATAGACGATCTCTAATAAGTAAAAAAAAGGGATAATCATCAGTAATACTTTCATGTGTGTCTTCAGCAAATTAATGAACATTTACGAAAAAAGTATTTATACAAATACATATTGTCTATTTCAAAGAATCATCTATTCTGTCGAGAAATAATGGATGTTTCTACAATTCCTGGCACACTTTGAGCGCATTTTGCATGAAATTCTTTAAAATCCCTTTTAACATCTTTCGCATCATTAAATATACAATTATCTGCACTCTCAGAATACACCTGCGAGATCATCTCCGCATCTTCAGTATGGTCAGCAGATTGAGATAACTTAGAGAGCAAAGCGATTTTTTCTGCCTTATTTAAAGTAAATCTAAAAGTATAAACAATATATACTGTGTATCAACAATGTTAAATAAATTTGATTTAATATTGAAAATATGCTACAGTGAAAATTCGATATGTTTCTTTTTTCCATGTACAACGTACCTCGTATTGCTTTGCGTTGCTAATTTCTCAATGATTTTAGCGTCTACATTAATCTTTTTCGGTCTTTGCATATGACTTTTCAATTTGTCTATGTTTTGCGTAAGTTGATGAACTTGTACTTTCAATGTTGCATTTTCATATGTTAATCTGTTATTCCTTTGTACAACCTAACGATTCATACGATATGTATAGTCTAATTTAAGAGATTTAGACGGCAAAAAAAAAGAAAAACGAACGTATATTTATCATTTACTTGTAAGAATTTAGCTTTGTTAAGAGGCAACGGTTCTTGAAATTTTTCTGACACAATTAAATTAAGTTCCTTTCTCGCTTCGTCTAATTTCTCCATCATCTCCGCCATTACTAGCAAATGCTCATGCAGCAACTGGTCCAATTTATATCTTAATGTATCTTTAGCATGTTTCATACGAAGGAACTTCACACATAGATTATAAGTAACTTTGTTTTTATCTAACAATTCTGATTTCAGCTTCTTATTTTCTTGTTCTAAGGAATTTTGCACTTCTTCGAGCTCCTTATGCCATTGTTGCTGAAACTTCGACACATTGCCTGTATACCTGCCTCTGTATCGTTGTATTTCTTCAACAAAATAATTTTTTTCTCTTTGATAGAAAATTCTCTCGCCATCTAACTGTTCTGCAATAAAAATAATTAATATACCGGATGTTCCTGGAATATAAATCGCTAAACTTAAAATATGAATTTAGAATTTCAAAAACAAAGTTTTTCTCTAGAAGTTTGTTGGCAAACACTTTGTTTTTTAAAAAAGATATTGATTTCCATAATCTATAGGAACTTCTACAGGAAAATTTTGTTTGTTTTGACCCAGACAGAACTGCAAGTCACGATAACATCAAAATGACATTAAAATGAAACGGAAATGATTGAAAAATGCTTTTTAATGATCATTTGGAAGTCATTTCGACATTATTTTGATATCATAATGAATTGTTGTTCTGCTTGGAGAGGTCTTAAATTCATATTTTAAATTTGATGATTCAATCCGAAATACTATAAGTGCGTTCGAGGAATCACTATTTATATCATTCTATCCTTGTTTATGTCTAATATAAAAGATGAAGATAGAATGACATAAATAGCGCCAATAGCGTCTTCCCGAACACACCTCGTGACGTGATGCATTTAAGAATTATGTCTAGATAATTTTGGCGTGTACTTTAGCGTAATATAAGGTCTGTTCTTCTTTTCGGACTTTTGTATCAATTCATCTTTCTTTCTCTTCTTTCTTTCTAAAGAGAAAAGGAAGAAAGATGATGATGTTTGTAACATAAACTAGAACCTAGAGTTATATCTGAATGCAATTCCTGAACGTATCCCTGTGTACTGTTTCATTCATATTTGTTGAATTAGTTCAAATTAAAAACTGTAAAGCTGTGTTGATAAAATTTTAATTTTATGGAATAAATTTAAATAGACTTAGTAAAATATATAGTATGCAAAATATTCCATTTATATATTATAATTCAATCAGAAATTACAGTCATACCTTGAGATTTAATATATGTAAAAAAAAATCTAAAATCTGTCTAAAAAAAAATCATAACACATAATGATTAAATCTTACGTTTCAGATTCCTGTTGTATCTTTGTTGTTTCTTTAGTTCTGCTAGTAACCTACTTTTTTCACGATGTGAATTTTCTAATTGTACATCTTTTATCTGTATAGCATCTGTTAAATTTGCTATAATTTCATTCAATTTCGCTACCTATTAAATATAAATCAGTTATTGATTCCAAAATTATAAATAGTAATAATTTATAAGAATTCAAATAATCAAATTGTAAATAGGCAAAGGAGCTTCACTTGTTGTTCATGCTGTATTTCTTGATCAACTATGTCGGATTCCACATTGCCATAGGAAACTTTTTCTACATTAGTAGAACATTTACTTAAGTTAACATTCTGCATATCACAATATCTAACTTCAAAAGTCAATCTCTCTCCGTAATCCCTTTAGATATATTCAATAATTTTTTATTTGTTATATTATTTCATTGATTATATCATATCGCTTCGTATTTAACTTTAATAATCAAGTTTCAGAGTTACGACATTCGAATTTTTGGAATTGCCTCTATATATACATACAATAAACCTGTATTTAAAACTTCTTAGAGTGTCTAAAGAATTATGATGTTCTTTCTTTATACGTAAGACAAAGTAAAAAGAAACTTGACATGTTATATATTATACATAAATAACCTACATACAAAAGTTATTTGTCAAATACATAATCATTGAATAAAAACGTTTTTTTTTTATTCGATTGATCAATCGCATTATGCGCAATTACAATTGCTGCATTTACGCATAATGCGACTGATCGATAGATTATAAAACTCACTTTAAGTAAAAAACATTAAAAGTATCAAATATAATTACAAATATCGTATATTTATGGATTTGAAATGTACTTATTTCAAACAATAAAACGAAGAAATATTTCCCGCTTTACAAATAAACAAAATCATTCTTTTCTAATGAAAAATATACAAAATAGATAAAAATTATTCTTTGTTATAGTATGGCAGGTTACTCTCAAATAAATATTTACCCAAGCAATACGGATTTTAAAAGTTGTGAAATTTTTTATTGTATATCGTATATGTACAAAATAGGTGTACAGACTACGTATCAATCGCACGTACGTTTTTTTATACATGCCATCACGTATGCTTCAATAGCACATGACACTGATGCAAGAGCATTTATATACCCAGTACACCTGTAACTCCCATTTCTATTATCTTTCATCAAATGGAATGAATGTTGAGATGACGTGTATATTTTCTTTCTTTAATATTGATATCTTTAGAGACGTAAGTAAAATTTTTGAGTAACTTATAATCCTCTCCCCATCTTGTACACACGAAAATAAATTATATTGGAGCTTTAGCTTTGCAATTCTTTACATGAGAATTATTTCCAAAAATCGTGTTTAAACAGATGGAATATATTTTCGCATCTCTGAAAGAATTACGTCGATATGAACACGATATCGGAAAAAAAAAAATACAAAATCTCATTGTAGATCCCCATTCGTGCTTTCCATAAATTTTACAATAACAACTGGGCCAGAAATCATTTAATACACTATTTTATCATACCAAAACTATATATTTAACATGGATTTCAATAAGTCGTCTAGTAAAAAAGAAAAAACATAATATTTGTTCTCAAGATATTCTCTTTCTTCAATGACAAAGTATCATCAAAAGGAAAAAATATTTAATTTTATCTCAAATTATATACTCCAATACGATAAGAATGTACATATATCATTTTTTGAAGACAGAGAAATTACATTTATAAAAATCTTGCCATAAACATATTTTTTTTTAATGTTAAATTCTATGTTATTAAATATACATTATCCTGTAAAAATATTCAACAGCACACAACAAGTATGCTATACAAATGTCTATATAATTGAGGTAATTGTAATAAACTTCACTTTGGACAGACGCATAAAAAGATTAGTTAAAGCACAAAAATATTTTTTAAGCAAACTTTTTCATATGCAAATTAACAAAATCGTCTGAAATTATTTCAAAATTACACGTAATATAATTGTCTTATTTTGTTGGTCCAGTTGTGTTTTAAAAAGGTGGAAGGCAATCGTTTTGTCGTGTGATAATCTGATGAAATGATACTAGATTCGCACAAATGCGGATGATAGTGATGGACTTATGTGTATATCTTAACTTAAGAGTTTGTTTTATTTTCATAATATTAAGGCTCATGTTTATTTTTTCTTGTTCTTGTTAGCCTGATTTTTGTATTTAGCTGCAGCTGCTAATTTAGCATTTTTCTTCTTAGGTTCGTCATCTTCATCGTCTTCATCTTCAGGATCCTACAAGAAATATAAAATGTAGTCATATGCAATTTATTTATTTTAAGCGAGATAATTGATAATACTTCCATATTTAATAATAATTAACATAATATATTATATTACATAAGGAAGTAAATGAGAATATATATTTATATATAAAATTTATTTACATCTATCAGTTTAAAGAAAATATATCAGTTTTAAGAAAATATATATGAAATTTTATAATAAAAAAAAAATTTCAAAATTATAATATGTTAGTCTAACTTTGACTTTTAAAGATACGAATTACATTTATCGATATAAATATTAACAAATATTATTTGATTTTCTATAATCTAATAAAAAATTATAATATATTACTTTGCAAAAATGGAAAAAAAGGAAGCGTGATTAGTAAGAAATAAAAGCAACTCTTTGCAAAATAAGATTTATTTTACAAAAATAAAACATGAAACATGAATGAGAATACAAGGGATACATTTATGATTTTTTATAAAAGGTTCACGTCCATCTTTTCCTCTCCTTAAAAATTATAATTCCTCAAAGATATTTTAAAAGATAAAGTTTGAAATAAAATAAAAAATGTTCTTAATGCAATATTGATATTTTTTAGACATACTATGGCGCAATGTCGATTTTTATCTTAATATTCTATTTGTCTATGTTCACGACCGTACTCATTCAACGCCGTTTTTTTTATCTCCTGATAAAAGTTTTCGTTTCTTTCGCGGTGCCTGAAATGGATATTTATTAAATATAATTTCATATGTTCTACAGCAACATAAAAAGTAAAGATAAACTAAAGATATTATCATGAAGTGCAAATTCTCCTATAGTAAATTATTTATATATGTATACAAACTTATAATATAAATTATGTCATAACATTTTTGCGGACGTATCCTGCATTCAAAAATTTATCATATTTTTATAGAGAACCATAAGGGATGTACCTCCGCGCGACGAACTCATAACCGACAGATCGACTTCAAATCTCATATCCCATATATACGAAAAAATTCGTAATTTGACATAGCAGAAGTCGCAAAGGAAATTTTCAGATCTATATGACTTTTTTTGACATCGTATTTATATTTGATTCTTATATTTAAGATTGTCATAAGGTCTTAAGATGAATGTCATGAATTAATCAGAAGCCACTATTCATTTTTATTGTCAATTTTTCACTAGTCAATTCTTATTAAAGACTGCCTTATTTAAGTTATATTTAAGTCTTATTTAAAACTGCTTAAGTACAGTCTTAAGATGTTATGAACCAATCAGAGAGCCACATTTGCATCTTAAGACATTACTTAAGATAAGCTTGAAATAAGAATGGACTATGATTCTCCTCTTTTTGAATAAATTCAAACATTCAGGAGAATTGATATGGTCTTGTCACCATCTCCTACTACTACTACTATTGTTGCTACTACTATTATTAAGCCCATTTTACAATGGGCAATAACAGTAGTGGATTAAAAAGTAGGCGTAGAAATCAACCAATCATAGTCGAATGTGAGAAGGATAATCAACTATGATTAGTCAATTTCTACTCTTTAATTCACTACTGCTACTGCCCATTGTAGAATGGGCTTTACTACTACTACTAACTACTACTATTACTACTACTATTATAGAGAAGCATTCTACACGCATAAATCGATATTAATAAATTAAATACAGTATTATCCTCTTTTATCCTCACTCATAAGATTTATAGCAAAAATTTACTAAATTTACTAAACTTATTATAATAAAATTTGCTAGATAGAATATATATTTTCAAATCTATATATATATATATAT